TGTTGTTGTTGTTGTTGTTGAATGACATCATGGGTGCATCCAGTTAAATGGCCTTCCTTAGAAATACTGTTTTTATTATTATATATATATATTAAAAGTTTACCATTCTTATATTCATTTTTAAACTCTGTATTGTAGATGCATTGAAGGTGTGTTGAAAACTGAAATCACTTTAAGGTATAATAATCAAACCAAAACAAAAAAGTGATACAGAAAAAATACACCAATAAGTAAAGTTCTGAAAAATTCACCAAAATATAAACTATATTATAACCTTACAAAAACAAACAATTTAGCAGTATTGTTAAATAATTAAAAAAGTAATTATAATGGTTTAAATAATTCTTTGGATTAAATATATATATATATATATATATATATATATATATATATATATATATATATATAATCACCACCAAATTTCACTATTTTTTTAGTGTTGTATAAGTCAAGTTCTTCATTTGATAGCCTGTGGCCAAACTGCTTGCCATCTGATCCAAAAATATTAACTTTAGATTCAAGTTTCCAATAAATAGTACCTAACTTTTTCTCTCTTGTCTCTTTTTATCAATAGTATATTTTTACTGTTCTTTTGAAAGCGTATAAAAAAAGGATTTTCATGAAGCTGATGTTTTCTCACACAGTCATAAATTACATTACGTTCTTTAACAAAATTTTCAAAATATCCACAATTGAGTTTTTGAGAAGTTAAGATGCTCTGAAACTGGAATAGAAATTAATGATTTCAAAATCAGGTATTTGATGGACATTTTCAAGTTAAAAAGACTAGAAAAAACAACTATTTCTGAAGAAAGAAAACATTTCTTCAATGAAAAAAAAAATATGAATATGAATGATGTTTTAAATGGTTTTAAAGTTTAATTAAAATTTAAAAATTTTCATTAAATTGCTTTTCTGCTAAAGTTTTATTTTTCCATATTTTTATAGCAGAAATTTTTGTAATGGCAAACTGCACTCCTACTCTCAAACTGTTATGCAAAAATAAAATAGACCTGAATTTTATTTTCTGGTGACACTGATAAAATTGTAGAATCATTATCTGGAAGTTCATGTTTGAAACTAAAAAGTAGTTTTTCCTTCCATGTCTTTAAATTAACATAATAGTTTTTTACTTTACTAGTTTTTTTTTCTTTAATAGCAATTTAAAAAAGTGCTTTTTTTTTTTTTAAATGCTCATGTGCCTAATAAAAGTTCATTTTTGTTAAGGTTGATTAGTGACTACCCTAATACAATGCCACCATCACTCTACTACAAAACGACCTTTTAAAAAAGTTTTTTTTTTTCTTAAAAATATTTTGTCTTTTAAAAAATATTGTCTTTTCTTCTAAGCGTTGTCTTTTAAAAAGCATTGTCTTTTAAAAGGCCCTGTCTTTTAAGAAAAGATTGTCTATTCGAAAAACATCTTTTTAAAAATGTTGTTCTCTTTTAGAAAAGGTTGTCATTTAAATGAGTAATGTATGGTGTATTTTTTAAACCACAAGACATATGTCGTATGCTTGTTAAATTTGTTGTAATATTTTGTTGTTACAGATTGTAAATATTGGAACTAACAAAAAATTGTACATCAAGTAGATTTTGTCAACCAAATAGTATTGGATATAAAAAAACATTAGATATTACATGCTCATGCTAATTTTTGAAAAATTAGCATGAGCATGAATATATTGTACTAACTAGGTGTGCAAGAGAATTATAAGCAAATATTAAAGTAAGCAAAAAAAAGCAGTTGATGCAATATATTCCAAAGAATGAATAACTCATGGTGAATTAATATGAATTTTCATATGAAAATTCATATTAATACACCATGTGAATGCTTTACTTTTACTTTTTTTTACTAGAACTATATTGGTCTTATTTGTTTTTTGTCTTAAGTGCAGAATTTAAGTATTTTGGGGTTGTGGCTTTTTTTTTAACTGTGTTGGCAGTTAAAAAAAAAAAAAAAAACATATACGTTGTTGACACTTGTGGTATCACAGTTTTTCATTATTTTTTTCATTACAAATTTTTTTCATTACAAATATTATTTTTTTCATTACAAATTTAGACTATAACTTCACAACTTTATTATGCTTTTCCACAGATGATTTTATATTGATATAAAATCATCTGTGGAAAAGCATAATAAAGTCATTCCATTAAATATTGTTAATGCTTTCCCATCTTTAAGAGCTAAGCAAACTTTACAGTGCTGATTTTTTATACAATATTTTGCATTTCTTGTTAGTTTTTTTACTATCAAAGTAAAGAACCTGATATTCATTTATAAGAGTTTTTTTCAAAGTCATGCTGCATTTTCAGTGATTCTTTAATAGATTTTTTTTATATTGAAGACTGAATTGGTGTAGGGATGTTAATACCTTGGCCAATAATTGTTTTTCAAACTTTTGCTGTTTTAGAGGAACTTCAATTAGTACAGTAAGTACTTTTACTTGTATTGTTGTTCCATAGTCTGTTTCTCCATTATTTCATTAATATATTTTCCATAATTTCATAAAGTTGTTTATCTTCAGTTGCCAACAAAATGCCATTTGTTTTTTAAATACCAAAAACATTTGCAAATATAACTTGGACAAATTCCTTGTGTTATTTCAAAAAGCTATCATTTTTTAAATAATGCTTCAATTTTTCTCTCTTTTGACTGCTCTGTTAGGAGTGGAAAATTTAACTTTTGCCACAAAGTTTTTATTTTATTCGCTAATATTTTTATTCTGACATTTCTAGATTTATCTTTTTTTGAAAGAAATTGATATCTTCCAATAATTATTTTTTCTTTGGGTTTTCTAGCTAAGCCATCAAGTGGATCATCCACTGTTGGTAACATCCACTGTTGGTAACATTTTCCTTTAATTGACACTTTATTCTGTATGTTGTAAAAAAATTTTCCTCCAGGTATCAGAATATCATTTATAACACTTCATTTATAACATTTTTCCAGAAAAAATAATTCAAAAGTAAGCTCACTGAAAGCAATCCTCTACAACTAAAAGTGGTAACAACAAAGGTTGAATATTAATAGGTAACAAATAAATAAAACTTGGTCATTTTTATTTTTATAAATAAATAAAACTTGGTCATTTTTATAGGGCTGCAGTTCTAACTAGAGTTTAAATTGTAAAGTTGTAAAGTTGTAATTGCAATGGAAACAATAACTATTGTTATTGTATTAATTTTTTTAGAAATATTAACAATATCTATGATTTACAATTATTGTATTATTGAAATACATTAATTATTGTATTGTAGTTCATCTTTGTAAAACAATAACAATATTTTAAAAAAATGGTATTGTAATTCATCTTTTTAAAACTAACAATATTAAAAAAAGGGTATTGTAATTCAGCTTTATAAAACAATAAAAATATTTAAAAAACAATGTTATTGTAATGCTCCAATACAATAACAGTTAATGTTGTATTTTGTTTTATATTTATAATACAGTAATAAAATTTAGGAAAAAAAAAATATATTAAAAATTTTAAATGCTTTACTTGTCCAGTTGACATGCCATGAACCAGAAAAAAAAATATAAGGTGCATCTAATATTTTATGATTTATGCTAGTACTATTTCAGATACTGAATAAAATTATTTAATGGTATTTTTGATTTTAAGGCTAATGATACCCTTAAAATCAAATGACAGGCAATATTTTGGTATCAATTGCCTTTTATTTTGCACAAATTTTGTTACAAAAATCAAGAAGAATATTTATTTGGTATTTTAAGCTGCCTCATTTTTTAAAAAACAACTTTCCTATAAAATTTTACGGTGCAGTCTGATAGGTGACGAGCAATTTGAAAATTCAAAAAAATAAAATTAGTTCACATGTTTATACAACTTAATATATAATTACCCAGACTAATGATTCCCTGATTTTATAACATTGTAATTAATTACTCAAGTTATTTTGAAAATTAATTATAATTAGTATATATAAAAATATATATATATAACAGGGCTTAATTTAACAGTCGGACATCGGACATTGTCCGGCTAAAACCTCAGATTGTCCAATCAATTTACAAAGTCATCGGACATTTTGTCCGGCAAGATTTTTAATTCTTTAAAATAAAATTTTATTCGTTGATTTGAAATTGACAAATTTAAACTTAATATAAACTATTAGACAAACTTATAAAACATGTTGATAATGGAGGCATTCATTCCCAAAAAAAGCGCTGTTATTAATTGTAGTTTTAATAACTGTTCTTTAACAGTTTTATTGTTATATTATTAAATTTAAAACTATTGCTTATTTAAAACGATCGGAAAAGTCAAAGTATGTTCAATTGATTACTGCAAACGCTGTGGACACCGAAAAGCAAAGAAAAGCTAGCAGTTTGAAAAATTTGATAATAAAAGATTTTACAAATGTGTTTTTTTAGAGGCTGAGATCTCATCGATGGAATATTTTTAAAAAAACATTAAGAAAATATA